CCTCTAACCTACGTTGCCACCAGCTGTCGTGTGTATCCCAAGAGGCAGCTGAACACCATGAGTGGGCAGGGGCAACCCAGCAGCTCCATAAGGGTCCTTGGCAGCTTGCGTGTGCCCAGAGTCAGCTCACTGGGGTGTAGTGGGAGCTCATGTGGGTGCATAGCGGGGGCTTGTATGTGTGCAGTGGGACCTCATGCGTGGGGTCAGTACAGGCTCACATGGAGCGCGAAGCATAGCCCCAGGGATCACTGTACTCACCATTCAGTGAGCAATCCTTTCTTCTTTCTCATATTCTCTGAAATACAAGATGTGCTTCTTTCTTAAATCTTAGGGCTATATAAATGGTCTCGAAAATCTCTCCTGCCACCATCCTGGACAGCCAAGAGATTTCCCTGCAGCTACTTTGGGCTATCATGGCATGTAAATCCACAAATGCTTTAAGCTGCCCTAAGCCAGAAATGACACCCAAAGTCTTCCTTTACCTCATGTTGTCCCTTCACTCGTGCAGGGAGAAGGACCTGCATGGTTACACTGTGAACTTGAGCAGGGAACTGATAATTCTTTTTTTTTTTTCCTTTATTTTTCTGGCTTAGCTGTGACCCAGATTAGTTGTCCCTGTCATTCCCTGACAGTTGATTAAGCAATTGCATCAAGGATTGTGCTGGGGTGGAGGGGCAGGTGGAGCAGCAGGAGGGCCAGAGCGCTCCCCTGGGCACACAGCTGGCTCTGCTGGCCCAGCATGACCTGAAGCACAGCCTTAGCTCTGTCTCCTCCATGCAGCTCAGCGCTGGGTCTTTCTGGGCGTCTGACTGGGACTATGCTCTCCTTGGTGACTGTGACCTTTCTGTCCTCTTTGGCAGATGCTCACACCTCGATAGAAAGGATGTGTTGTGAATTCCCTCCCACTCCTCAGTCCTCCAGGGGTGATAATTATCTGTACCTCTCACTGCCTGGCAAGACTGAATGACCCTATAACCTCCCTCTTACTTGCAGTGTTCTTTGCTCCACAGTTCTTAATGATTTCTTTCTCTCAAAAAACTGCCACTGTGCCATTGATTAGCATAATTAAGTTAAAATTCAGAGCAATTTTTTCCAACCATATCTTAGCTTGGAATTCAGAGATTGTGTTTTAAAAATGAATTTGTAGTAAAAAGCTGTCCATCTTCCTGGCTTCATCTATTTGCTTAATGAAATATATTGCAGAAATCTTCTATCAGATCCTGTCTCATACAAAAGGTATTGAAAATACCTACAGGTAAAGGACATGGCCTTGCTTCTTTTTATGTAGATATCTTTTGATCCAGCCATGACAACCATACATAAAACCTGACCTTCCAAGGACACAAATGTCAGAAGATGAGCGTGCTTCTGCCTGGGAAGATGCTAGATTTAGAGGCAAGAGGATTTGAGATGCATGCTTAGTTGAGCACTTTGCTGATAAGGTTCTATGTATGAAGTGTGCTTACCTCCCCAGTCACCTTGCAGACTGCTAGAGAGTTGAGGAGGTGGAAAGCAAGCTAGAAAGTTTGTGATGTTGCTGAGCTGCCTTGGGGAGCGTGGAGGGCAGTCAGTCTGAAAGCTGCATTAAGAATTACTCGAGGATGTGATGGTAGTGTGCCACAGGGCACATGGCACAAGGCTTCTCCTTTCCTGTATTAAAGCTACAGGTTATATAAAAGTTCTTAAAAACTAGGGAATGGTTCAGGACTATCACTGCAAGCATCAGCATGATCCTATCATCACTTACCTTGAATTCTCTTCCCACCTTGCTTTCTTCCTAATGTCATGGATGGTCATTTGTTTCAGATTAGACTGTATAAAATCTGGGGCTGTGCTTTTCTGTACGTTTTTGACTGTGGAGTATGTGAAAGCTCTTCTTGCAGCTTGGACAACAAATGTCTAGTGTGGGGAATCTCTGACAATGGCTTCAGATGATGGGTAACACAGTGCCCTGCGCTTCAGTTATCCTGGATGCCAGACAGATTCATTTAATTTGTGTTGGTCTGGGGAGACTGGATGAGCAGAGAGAGTAATTCCAGAGCAGAAGGTGAATGTTTCTAGTTTCATAGCTCTTCAGATATAAAACATTATAGATAGCAATTTACACTTTCATACAACCCTGACACAGCTGTTTGCTTCGAGGGATGATTCATTTACACTTAAGAGAAAAAATAGTGGCAAAAGTGACTCTTCCCTCAGATCCTTCATATTCCTCACTACAAATTTAAACAGGCCTGTTACCTACCCTGTTCTGAACGACTGGCTGGAAGCATTTTTCTGCTTCAAAGAACATAAAGTAAAGCAATTAATCCACTTCCTTCAGGAACCTTTTGCTCTGCTTCCTCTGCCAGACTCTCTGTTACTGCACCCAGGAGTTCATTAGAAAGCAGTTCAGACACTTTCATGATGGTATGCCAACTCCTTGTTCAAGTGCACGAGAGATCCATCCTGCCTCTGGGCTCAGGATACAAATAATCACTCAGCAGG